TATGATTCCTGGTCCTATATTGGTGAAAACAAAATTTCTCAGTGTGTCTGTGTACAAATCCTGGCTCTACCACTAATGAGTATGTGACATTTGGGAAGTTACTTGAACTATCTTAGGCTTTTCATTTGTTGACCTGGGAAAGCAACAGTAACCATTTCATAAGCTGTGATGTAGATTAAACTGCTTAGGACGGTGTTGGCCCATGGCCCCCACTTTATAAGCATTTACTAAAATTATCCCTAAGCATAATTCTGTAAGATCCTCTAAATTTCTTTTTTATCAACAACTTTGAGAAATTAGAACTTGTTTAAATAAATCAAGGCAAAACAGAATAAAAGACTCAGAACAGTAACTATTACATGTTAGAGTACATTTGCTAAAAATATGTAATAACTTCTTACATACCAAGAAACCTAAAAAGCTGCAAGTATATTTATGAATCATGTTATTCTCTGAGTAACATATTTTGATCTATCATTTCTCTTCACTTACCTGACCAATGATCAGGTAGTATCAGAAGAAAAGAACAGTCACAAAAGACTGACATTCTTGGCTAAGAACCAGTATAACATCTACATAAAGTATGTTTCACCAAGAACGTAGACTTTGATTACATTTTACTTCTAAATTGGAAGACAATCTATTAGGAGAAAAAAAAAATGAATTCCATTTTGTTCTACGTTCTTTTGAGTCTATAACGTACCATCTCAGTGCTTTGGGAAGTAGTCAAGTCCTACAAATCCATTTGCCCCAGAAAATTTTTCTCATGAAATGTGTTCTTATATAGTTACCACTTGAGATGATCCAAAGTATTTGCATACATTTCAAATTTTCATTCTCATGATAATTTTTCACTGTGTGATTACTTAATTTTGTTCTCATTGTCAAAGCCCACTTCTGCGACTCTTAACCAAATGAGTAAATAGAAGGCAATGGTTTCTGTTATACATTTTATGGCTTTTCTTTTTAAGGAAAGTAAGTGTTCCGAGGTACTTTCTCCCATGCCTCTCATGCTGAAAGATTGGAATAGAAGCTGAAATTCAAAGGCAGAAACTCAGTCAGAAGCTGGCATTTTGCCTGTGACTTGGTGGACCTGTTAAATAATGTTTGAGGTAAAACAGATGCCAACTATATCAAACACAGTGAAGGAGTAGGTTCAGAAAACAGTGTTCTTGGTTTGGTCAAAGTTCAGGAGGACTGGCTCTGTCCACAAATAGGTTGAAAGCAATGAAGGACAGGAACATTCACTAGTCCTATAAGCATTTTCAGTCTTTCTTGTTGAAAACCACTGGTGGAGACATTGAGAGAAGGTAAACACAATGTATGTGTCCAAGGATCTCTAAGGTTACCTTACAGACAAATGTTATAGTTCATGGTTTTGTATAAGATATTTTTCTGCTGTTATTTTTATGTTAAGTATGGCTTTTGGATTCTAAGAACCATATAACAAGGTGCTGCAGTTCCAGTCCATTTTGAATGTTGCCTCACAGAGCTTAAGAACAAGTGACAGCATACCTTCTTGAATAGAAAATCGGTAACCTACAGACTGCCCAGAGAGGGTTTCCCAGGCCCTTTCCTGTCTCTATTCTTTGGCTACTCCCAATTTCAGGGCTAAAGGAAAAAATCTTTCTGTGAAGAACTGCAGTGTAGATTCTGCAATGAGATATGTGTGAACAGATGTTTCCTTTCTACCACTTCCATGACTTTCCAAAGTCAGATATTGATGTTTCTCTGTGGGGAGTGTAATTATGCTTTCATCATATTGACATGGAGAGAGAGAATCAGGCTTGTTGTGTTTTACAAAGTTACAAAGCTGGTGGGTCTGCTTTTCCTGTTAATTGGTGAAACATGGGAAGATAATTTTTAAACCTTTGTATACCTCTTGGATAGCATTTTCAATGGATTTGCTCTTTTGATAGCTATAATGATCATATAATTTTTATAATAATTAATGTATCTGGAAAAGAAAAAGGAAAGGTTAGATTTGTCAAATCTACATAGTAGATTGAAAGGTGCTAACAGAATAAACATTGAAGAAGATGATTTAAAATTGCAGGATATTGTCATCATCCTATCAGCAAACATATTTTTCTAATTATAAAAATCCAAATGACAAAACCATGATCATTGATGCTGTAATTCATTTAGATTCTCTTTTATGACCGAAAGCTTTGTAAGCTACATTATGGACATAAGAAATCTATCACCACTCTGGAATATCTCAGAGGGGAATGGATGATGCCACTTCCTACCACCAAGTTTACAAAAAACAACAACAACTTATAGTGCCTTTTTAGTTGAAGCAGAATTGTAATGAAAGCCACCTGTTAATTAATTTTCAAAATAAATGACTACTCAACTAGTGAAAACATCTCAACATAATTATCAAGTTCGACATCATAAAGTGAATGTGACATTCAATAAGCATTGCAGGCTACATTTGGAGTAGCACTTTGACACGTGTTTTGAGATATTTATGATCTAAGAGTCCTTTCAAAACTCTTTCCAGTGCATACCTTTGCTCTCTTGCCTAGACCTTCTAATTAAAATGGAAGCCAGTTATATTTCTTTTCTCCAAGAGTCTAAAAACCCAGTCGAGGGTCAGCCTAACATTTTACTTTGCTGAAACACGCTTGTCAAACGGTGACTACATTGCAATGAATGTAATTATTTCATTTTAGGTGTAATAATATCATTTTAAAGGAGTATCAGGAGTTACCGTGTGATCATTTTGAAGCAGTATCTAGTAGAAGTATTTTATACTAAGCAAGTGGTTTGGTTACATATGGCTTTGTAAGGTATTAACATCTAAGTGAAAAATCAAGACCATGATTAGAATTTTTTACTAGCAAATTCTATTCACTAAAACAGAGGGTGATTTAGTTATGTAGGTACAATTGAAAGAGGAAAGTGAAAGTCAAAGTGAAAAATCTATTTTTTCTCACTGAAAAATTCAACATCTGAGATGTGTCATAATCATAGATTTTATAATCACAAACTAATCTTAAATGTGTATATGATACTCTGCTAAAATATCATAAGAACAAGGCTTGCAAATGTAATATTAAAGGCAAATGTATCAGCTTATAATGTCAATTATTAAACAAATAAGAAGTCATTTTGACAAGGGGTTGTGTTGTGTTTTGAAGGCCTTTTACTAATCAATCCTAGTCTTTCTCTTGAAAGGACAGTTAATGTCAAATTTATTGTAAGAAAAGTTACTTTCCATAGTTTCAATGAAAACAGGACCATCATAACTCTTGCCTTATAACTTCACATTTTTTAGAAGTATTGAGTTAGTTTCAGTAACTTAAGTAGATAAGGGCAACTAGGAGTGCCTACAAGACATTTGTTATTAATGAGGCTTCTACATGCCACCATGTGAATACATATATATATATATATATATATACACACACACATATATATGTACTAGTCTTAGTGTCAGAGATTTCATGAAAGAGCAAATATTTATCTAGCACTATATTTACTATCTCCAGAAAGGGGATGAAGGACAGATATTTTTTCTCTTTTGAATTATACATGGTTCACAACATTATTAAAATTTTGTTAAAAATTCTATATAATCTAGAATGCTTTTAAAAATACAGTACATTTTCATTCGTGGATTCTGTATTTGCAAATTTGCTAACTCATTAAAATTTATTTGTAAACATAAAATCAGTGCTGGTAGCATTTGTGTTCATATGCAGAGCAGCAAAAATGTTTTAGTTGCCTGATGCACGTATTCCTGGTTGGGCTTCAACAGGATGACAGTCTTCTTTTCAGTTCATACCATAAACAAGTGTCCTTTTCATGGTGAATTTAGTGCAGTGTTGTGCTCATGTTTGTGCTCTTTCTTGTTGATTTACTGTTGTCAGTGGCCTCCAAGCATAGTGTTGCTGTACTGCCTGGTATTTCTTAGCATAAGAAGGCCGTGATATGCCTTACAAAGAAAATATGTGTGTTAGATAAGTTGTTTTCCAGCATGATTTATCATGTTGTTTGTCTTTGAAAGTTAGAGTCAACAACATGTTAAATGAAGTATCTTTAAAGGAAATACACATAAGACAAGTTTATGTATTAATTGGTTGATGAAAATGTTGTGCCCAGGGGCTTGTAGGAATCTAATCCTGTCTTTTTTGCAGAAACAGTGGTTCAGCACTTGCTACTTTGGTCTTGGCAGCATCTTTACAGAACATAACTACTGCGACTAACAAGAATTGATGGTACCACAGTTTTCACTCCATAGTATTCACAAACACAGCAAAAAGACATCTTATGTCATGATAAAATGAACTGTAAGAACTTGCTTGTGTGTAAACATTCCTAATTATGATGACAAATTAAATTTAGTGAAATACACAGGCCTATAATTGAGAAATGTGTAATCACAGAAATATTGTATAAACAAATGACTGCAGGGATATCAAGAAGATGGTTGGCTTATGGAGAGATTTAATTTGATTAAATATTACATAATTAGTATCTTTGTTTAATCTTTTTAAGGCTCATACAATCCAAATATATTGTCAGCAGACTTTTCGAAATTGCTATTAAAAACAGTCTAGGGATAGTCATATACCTGTAATGCCAGCACTTTGAGAGGCTGAGGCAGGAGGATCACTTGAGGCCAGGAGTTTGAGACTAGCCTGCACAACATGGTGAGAACCCCATTTCTGCAAAAAATTTGAAAATTAGCTGGGGGTGGTGGCCTGTACCAGTAGTCTCAGCTAAGTGGGGGGCTGAGATGGAGAGGGTTGCTTCAGCCTGGGAGGTCAAACCTACAGTGAGCCATCATCCCTCTACTTTATTCCAGCTTGGGTGACAGAGTGAGACCCTGTATCAAAAAAAAAAAAAAAGTATATGATTTTAAGAGATTAATTTTCAATTACTAAATTCAAAGGCATAGGTCTAAATTATAAGAATTTGGTAATCCTTAGTATTTGATCACATTTAGGAGCATTTTTCATTTTGTATCTGTGAATTTCATGCACTAGGCCCATGTTCAGTCCAGCAACCAGATCAACACACTGTCCAAGCTCATTAACTTTGGAGAGGCTACCCAGAGTTCCTGAAGAGTTCATCTGAAAGTAAGTAGGGAAGATATTTTCTCTCTGACTTTTCAGCTGTTTTCAATATTTATGTACTGTGGTTAAACTGCCTGAGCCATTCAAGAAGCTTTTGATTGTATCTTTGTTGGATGTTAAAGCTGTGAGTCTTGATTGCAAATGCCTAGAAAAATGCTAGATTGCTAGTAAATAAGCCTGGTAGTAACAGCCTCTCCCTGGTATTTACTATAAACAATGTACAAATGAGTCAGTGATTAATTTTTCTCTTGGCCATGGGCCAGGACTGAAATGTAATAGAACATAATTTTCATAATATGTGGCAGCTGAAAAAACTTTCAGTTAAAATTGGTTCAATTTTATCTGGCTTCAAAGACTGTCCCTGAGAGCATCTCGGATTCACCTGCATGATTCTTTAAAACGGCAACTTTATGCAAGTGACTATTTAGCTCTACAGACTGAAGGAGTTGCCATGTTGCATTGCAAAGCATGTTAAATGGGGGAGGTGGGTTTCCAGCTATGAATGTCATCAGAAGAGAGGTATTTTTCTAAAACATATAAGTTGCTGAAAGACATTTAGAAATACCAGTTTACTGGGTTGGCTTTACTAGCCAATTTAAAATAAAAACAACCTGAAGTCAAAGTAATTCTAATGAGCATATGGTGCATGGGTCCCAGGTAAAGGGATGTGTAAATAAAAGTCAAAGTTACATTAACTAAGTCTTGGTTACACTAATCCAAACAACTTTTCCTTTTAGTGTAGATGTGGGCTGCCACAGGCAAATATATGCACTTATACGGCATATATTGCTAAAATGTTAAATTAGATTTTTATTTTTACTGTAGCATAGGATGTATAACAGTGATCTTCATTTGATTTACATCAGGAATCTTTTATTACAAAATAAATTGTATCAATATTTTAGAAGTGGAAAATGTCATAGTGATTCTCCAATTCCATTCTAAGACTGAGGAATGTTTCTAGAAAGATCTGCGAGATGACGCTAAACTGACTGTGTTCTGTTACATTCTTTCTCATAGTGGCCAGACTTATATTCTGGCTTCAAGATACTTTTATTTACTAGTCACTGAATTTACATCTCTTCATATTTCCCACTACACCCAACCAAATTTTTGTATCCTTCTTGCCCCCAGGACTACCTGGAAGCCATTATTGCAGGTGCTGATTAGGAAATGTCCCACAGGCTTTCCCAGGATCGGCATTCAGTTATCTCCCATACTCCTTCACTTTTTTCTAATTCTAGCTTCATTAATTATTCATAATCTCCTTGCAACTTTCACCTCTTGTCTATCTATTGACATATCATCCTGCTTAAAAAATATGCTCTTCTCTTAATGTGTTACCTTCCATTCACCAATAAATTAACACGAGAATTGTTAGTATCGTTCACATTCTACTCTGACAATCTGAGTCTACTTCCATAGTCAAGATTGTCAGAGTAGACTATGAATGATATTGTTGAAATTTTTTTTCTGGAAAAATAATTTTACCAATAATGGGCTAATATCAAAGGGAGAAGCATCATAAATGAGTAGTTAGGGCATGAGCTCTGCGTCTGCCTGTACTTGACCTGTCTCACTTTTTGCAGTATCTCGAACAAGTTTCTATGTGCTGCATTTCCTCACCTGTAAAATGAAAAGCATAATAGCACACATCTCATAGGGTGATTCTGAGGCTTGAATAAAACAATACTTGTAAAATACTAACAAAGCATTCAGTACATAGGAAGCATGATAAAGTGTATGTTAAATAAAATACATTTAATACTTCTTATTTCCTCTATTTTCCTCTCCATCAACCTTTTCGCAGCATTTAATATTATTGATTACCACTTTAGAAAACTTTTATGCTTGGTGAAATTTTGCAGCCTGACAAGTGGACTGGTGGAAACCACAGAAGATCCAGAGTATTAGGTACATTTGGTGGCCAACTAGTGTTTAATTGAAATGTCTGATTTGGGGACTCAACCTAAGTAGAGTGACATGTAAAGTGAGACTTGGATCTGTAAGTGTAGAACATGGAATTTTGAGACTTTAGAGACCATTATGAGAATAGATTCTGTGGAAATAAACAAATGGTAGTTTAGGTGAACAGAAAATGAATCATGGTTGAAGAGATCTTTGGCTGTGAAGCTCTTACTCTAGAGTGGATTTTAGCCCCAGACTATAGCCGGTGATGAAGGCAAGAAAGAGAACTGTGGGCCAGGTGCCCTTGGGGCACGCCTGAAAGTTAGATGGCAATGGGAAAGGAAGAGCAGCTACTGAGTTATACTTTTCAATCCTTTCAGAGCCAATGTTTCCTGGATGATTTAAAGTTCTCTATTTTGTCCCATTGTACCTGCCTTTTGGCAACTGAAATTTTTATTATTTACAACTCTCACTGCAAACTAGGCAAAATTAATAAATATTAAATTAGCCTTCATTTCTATTTTTAAATGAGTCATTATTGTAAAAGAATCATGTGAGAAAATAAAGGGAAATATATATATGAAAGTATCATTAAAACAACACATTTAAATGATCTGTCAATTTTAATAGCCATTGCTATCTTAGAGTTGGCTGTTCTTTATTCTCATAATGTCCCAGCATGACATGTTGTGATTACTAATTCTACTTTTGGAGACAACCAGAAAAATGAAGAAGTCTGAATTAGGTCCAGGGGACCCACAGCTGAATCAGCATGAGAACTAACAGTTTCTAACTCCCATCCGAAACCTTACATCTTCTAAATCATAATAGCGCCCAAGGGAAAATAATTGTGAACAGGTTCTAGAGATTGAGATTGTCTTCCAAAATGGAAATGATCTTTGGTTTTTTTTTTGAAAAAAATTCAACACAATTTTATTTTGGTCTTTACAGTGATGTTTATGTATTTACAGTTCATCTGCTGCTGAAACAGCAGTAGAATAGTCTTTGAAGTGATGGGTATGTGTATACTGGCAGAGTTGAAGATAAACAATGCCAAAAGACTTCTAAAAAGATTAAACTGTTAACCATAAATACACGGTTTCAGTTGAGAAGATTTATTTGTTGCTGACCATATTAGCCATTGTAGTTAACATTGGTTCTGGGAAAGTCATACTTTGGTAATGAGCCAGTAGGCTGTACTTGTAGAGCTACAGTTGAATTTAAAGGATGGATGCAGTGACATTGCAGATTTTCTCTACATCAAACAGTTAATGAAGTTACAAAATGTTCTGCTGGCTCCTTTCCTTTAAGCTTCTTTTTGGCACTTCTAAGAGTTTCAACTCTCAGATGCATGGTCTTCCAGCATTCTATCAGTTTCCCTGTCTTGGTTCATGCACTAAAATGTGGTGCTCATAAGGCATGGTCCTTATGGACGTGATTATGTTTGTTTGAGAACTCCTCAAGCGGCCACTTGAGATAAAAGATAATGGAACTAGGGATGGTAGTGGAATTGGTGTGGTGTCATGAGGTAATTGGCAGGTACAAATGGCCTATCATGTGGCTGGGTACTGATCTAAGTCCCTGGTCTATTTCAAGCCCAACTGGATGTATTGCAATTCCATCCTGGAACTAAACACCTGGAGTTGGTGGTACGGGCTCCATGGGTTAAAAGCATGGTCCCCAACAAGGCTGTTCTTACTTCAGACACCAGCAGTAAGACACCCCCCAGGGTGGGGGGGTCCCCAGACCACCTGCACTTCTGAAAGAATCACTATAAATTTTGGTGTTTTCATGAGCCCTCAGTTCAATCATTTGCTAAATTGACTAACAAAACTCAAGAAAGTACTACAATTAGAATTATAGTTTCATTATAAAGAATACAAGTCAGGAGTGCTAGCTAAATAAGAGACACATAGAATGATGTCTGAAATGGAATGCAAATTTTCTGTCTCCAGCCCCATTCCACTCCATTGGAGTCAGGTGGCTGAAAGCTCCAATCTATTATGTGGTTAGTCTTTCAAGGTGACTGTCCCCATCCTAAAGCTACCTAGAGGCCTACCACGAGTCCCCTCATTAGGATAATGAAGATAATTACTCATTAGGATAATCACTGTGAACATACTGAGAGTTTTTAGAATCTGTCCCATGAATCTGGAACAAAGACCATATAGAGTCTTTACTATACCACAGCCCTCTCCTGTACTGTCTTATTTAAGGTTTACAGACATTCTATGAAATAGGTATTTTTTATTGCTACTTTTTAACACGAGAAAACTAAAGATCAGAAATGCCCCAGGTCACACTGCAAGAACACAGCAGAGCAAAGATTTGATCCCGGCTTGGTCTGCTTAAATGGCCATGCTTTCCCTGACACCTTAAAGAATACCAAATAGACAATGATTCTGCACTGACAGATCAGCATGCTTATAACTGCTTGTTTGACATCTGTTTTTCCCTGGTAGTTTGTAAAATGTAAAGAAAGAATATCCGTTGCCTTTTCTGACAGTCACTCCCCGTACTCCAGCATCTATTATATATTATTTTCTATTAGCTGTTACATAAATACTTATAAAATGAACAAGTTAATCTGAACAAAGCAATATTTATTGGTCCTGGAGTGGATGAAATAGGCTAGGGACTGGCTACAAGAGCAGTGACTCCCAAATACACAGCATTTTGAGTTGTAGTGAATGTGTGAATGAGATGAGTAACTATGACATCCAAGCTAGGTGAAGTCAGTTGTAGGTATGGACGTGGAGGACTCCGTGGCAGGGAAAACGTGTGTGGTTCAAAGCACTGGAGGTCATGCAGAGATTTCATGCTATGAAAAGCATGTTGCACCTGTGTGAGTGTCATTAGGTTGATAACACCCTCCTCTCTTGTCTGCCTCCCTTACAATTATGAGGTCTGGAAAAGTAAGGGGTGGAAGTGATTACCTAGCAGTGTTCACTGCTGCCAAAATTAGTTAGCTTTATTATGAGCTCTTGTCCTGGTTTCATAAAGAGACTTTGGGCATCATGGGAGTTACTGCTGCTTCCCTTGGGAGTTATGGACACTCTCATGGGCATCTGCATCTGAGCATTCTATCTCTGTGACAATCATTGATAATAACTTTTGCCCAACAAGTTGGCTTTTCTGGATGTGTTAATGATGTAATCATGACAATTACTAAAATTATGAATGTTTTGCATGAATTATTTCATTTAATCCTCACAATAACAGAATGAGACAGAAACAATTTTGACTGTTTTTTACAAATGAGGAAATGAGATTTGGGAAGGTTAAATCATTTGCCGAAGTCATTTGTTTCGTGATGAGTAGTCTGAAAATTTTAACCCAAATCCCATCAACATACTGTAAGATGTTACAGTAAAAATGTTATTAGATCATTCCGAGAAGGATCTAATGTAACTATTAAAAGAGTTCTTTATTTTCATGATGCCTAATGCTTTCCTGGGTGCAAGATTGTTTTTGCTTTTTGATTCTGTCCCTTTGAAAATCAGATTTTAACTTCTAGCCTGTTAGTTCCTTTGTGGGGAAAAAAAGGATTACTACTCTTTTCCAAAATACCAAAAAATGTCAGCCAACTGCCTGAGTTTAATCAGATGTTTAATCTGACATAACAGCTGCATAGTGACACCACAAAGAATAAATAAAAAGATAAGGACTGTGTCATAGATACTGAATCTTCTATGGTCAGGGCCTGCTGACTTGCATATAAAACTGTTTATTTAATTAACCCTATTACAAACAATGCAACAAAACTTTATTCTAGTTTTATCTTTCAGAATGTTGAAATAGTCATGGCCCATAGAATCACTGTTTTGGGTAAGATATTTTTAATGTAATTCTTTCTCCATTGCTTTTGAGTACACGAAAAATTTCCTTAATCTTTCACTGCATGAAAAATACTCTATCTTAAAATTCCACGTATTTCAACTTAAAAATAACATCTATTATAGGTTTTCCTTATTTTATTGAGTAAATCTAGATAAGCATAAAGAAGAAAATAAAAATTGTCCAGAAAGAACCACAATTAAAATTGTCCTGCATATTCTTCCATTCTTTTTCCTGTTCCCGTGTGTGCGTGTGTGTGTGTGTGTCTAGTATAGTAATGTACAGGTATATATGCATACATATGTTTATGTAACATCTATTAATATGTTATAAAACACTACTTTTTTTTGAAACGCGGTCTAACTTTGTCACCCAGGCTGGAGTGCGGGAGTGCAGCGGCACAATCTGAACTTAGTGCAGCCTCAGCCTCCCAGGTTCAAGCTGTCCTCCTGCCTCAGCTCCTTCAAGTAGCTGGGACTAGAGGCATGTGCCACCACACCCTGCTAATTTCTATATGTTTTGTGTAGATGGGGTTTCATCATGTTGCCCAGGCTGGTCTCAAATTCCTGAGCTCAAGTGATCTTACACTGTGGCCTCCCAAAGTGCTGGGGTTGCACGCGTGAGTCACTGCACCCAGCCATAAAACAATACTCTGAATCTGCCTTTTGCTCTTTCTAGATTTTAAAATATCATTTTGAACACACTAATCTATAGTAATTCAGCAACAGCACCCTTTTTGTCCAGTTATTTTCCACTGCAGTTTCCTGGTGGAAGATTGTGATTTATCAATCCCTTTGACTAGGAGAGGCACACTGGGATGGCTGAGATGGGAGGAAACTTCTAGGTAATATGGCTTCTATAGCCCAAGATTCTATGTTGATCTCAGTGGAAGATCCCATTGCCAGTGTCCTGCACCAACGTTGCTCCTTTTTTTTCCCCTCACTGTCTAGATCACTGGGTCTCACTTGAGAGTGGCTTTCCTCCCCAGGGGACATTTAGAAAAGTCTGGAAACATTTTGATTCCCATCGCTAGTGGATTGGCTACTGGTATGCAGCAGGTAGAGGCCAGGATACTAAGCATCCTATGACTTTCAGGTTGAGAAACCTGGGCTAGGTGAGTGGCCCTATCATACTCGCAGGCTGAAAAACACATTTTATTAGGCAGTAGATCTTGACAGTCCCTATAATAACATTTTTATGTGCCTTCTTATAATTTATTGAGTGTTTTCTAGGTGTAGAAAATTTCCTTCTCCACTTCTTTCTCCTCAGCATTTTTCTGACAAAAAATCATAGCCTGGAAGTAAAAGTACATTGCTCTTAGCTGTTCTGTAGCTTACAGAAGCCAAGAAGGAAGAATCCTGAGTTCTGTATGGCAGGTTTCTTTACAGGTACTCAACCTCGGTAATTTCCTGCTGCTCTGTGATTTGGGCATTGTTATTCTCATTCTCTAGATAGGCAGGATGGCCTAGATAACTTGCAGGACCAGTGTACAACAAAATGTAGGGACTCTTGTTCAAAATTATTAAGAATTTCAAGATGGCAACAGCAAAGCATTAAACCAAGGCAAGTGACCTTCAAAACTCAGCATCCCAAGTGATCGTGAAGACGTTGCCATCATGAAGCGGTCCCCAGATATAGGTAAAGTGGTGTTTAAAGAAGTTAAGTGACTTGCCTAAGCCCTCACATTTAGTGAAGGGCAGAGTAAATCTTGGAATCTGTGCTTTCTGTCTCCAAAGCCAATATTCTTTCTACTGGACCTCTCTGCCCTTCCTAGTAGGACAAAAATAAACAAACTTTCTTCTCTTGTTATTCTATAGCCTAAAAGCTAATTTCAGGTAAGTATATTGCTTATATTAGTTGGAACTTCTTTTCTCATCAAGATCTGGTTATAATTGTCATAATCCCAAACCATGTAGGATTTGCCAGATCTTTCCTTGTTTTGTACAGTTCCCAGACTTGCTTCCTCATATTTCCTTCTGCCTCCAGGTGTCAGTGTCCATACAGGAATCTCAATATACCAATCTCCCACAAAACAAGAATTTGTGAACCCAAACATGAGTATTTAGAGGAATTAAACTATTTAGAATATGTGGTGGACTTAGTATAGTACCCACCTGGCACATGGTAAATGCTTAACAGGTATTAGCTACTATTAGGGGTAATTAATATTTGGCGATCAAATCTCAGGATTTTAGACTTCTTCCATATCTGTTTCTGTGTGCCCTTTATCATGCTCCCCTTCATTCTTGGGCTCAACAGAGCATCATTCCTTTGACTAGTGCAGGGCAGGCTTATCCCATTTTACCCTTGCACCCGTCAAAATATTTCTCCCAAGTAAACCTAGTTTCCTTGCTAAGAAAATTTCAGCTGAATAAAACATTCTTCATTTCATTACTCATGACACGTCTCCCTTGTGTCTAGAAAATAAATGGGAAAAAGAGCCTAACAGTACATAGATAATTCTTCTTCCCTGAATTTTTTTTCCAGAGCAATCATTTTTAATGTATTTTGAGCTAACCTGCATTTATATCAGCTAAATTACCAAGTGTCAAGAATTTAATTTACTCTTATGTACATTTATAAGATGATACTACTGTACTGGCCACCCTCAGTAATGACTAAGTTTTCCACTGGGTAAGATTAATTTACATCATTTATTAACATTACATTAATTTACTTCTTTTTTTTTTTTTTTTTTTTTTTTTTTTTTTTTACAATTTCTTACTTGCTTTTTGAAATCCGTTGATAGTCACAGCCAATGCCGGAATGGCACGCAAATTTAATACATGCTTACTGTTGGCGATTTGAAAAACCAGGAAGTAAAGATTAAAACTGTCCTTAACCATTTTACTGCAAGAATATCTCTGTTCACATTATTGAGTATGGCCTTCCATTGTTTTCTTTTTAATGTGTTATATTGTGGTGCATGTCATAGAAGCAGGATATTTTTAAATCATGGTGAATTATCTCTAGGAAGCATTTACCTAATTGGATTCCTGGTGGAAGTATGTGAGATTTTTATTTCCTTGTATCCTCAATATACTTGCTTTTTAATATGTATTTTAATAGTTTTTAGAATATTTTATTCAGATTTTAAATATATGTGTGTACAGTTAAATATTTAGTTATTAAATCAACTATAATATACACACACACATATATATAAATGTTCCTCAAAGTATGATTGTTTTATCAGAAAAACATATTACTATTAATAGTATAATGCGATCATGTTTAACAATAGCATGAAATTGCAGAAGATTCATTAAAATGTTTATGTATTTTTAATAGCCTCTAATTTTCCCTGCTTTTTCTGTGTCAGCAGAATGGCTTCCTTCATGGTCCTGGAAAAATGCTCAGAATGTGTGACTTAACAGTAACTCAGGCATTTTAGTTCAGCTCAGATGGTATTCATTCCTTGATGGATAAAAACAAAAGAAAAAGCTATTCTTTGGCTAAACAACACAATCCTCTCTATTATTCTAGTCTCTACAGATTGCTTGAAAAGTGCAGCATATTTGGAATTGCTTTCCTAAGAATTAAGCATGAACAAACAAGCCCACACCATTCTAAAAAAAGTTCTGATGGTGTATAGTAGGTCAGGAAGCAAAAGTGGAGGAGGCCAAGGGAAAGGTTAGAGAGGGAGAGAGGAGAGGAATCCTGGGGTCTCCTTTGGGCATGTCCTGACTGCAGAAGCCCTTTCAGAACACAGGCACAACTGTCTTTTCTAACTGAGGATCTTATGTAGGCCTATCATTTTTCTTTCCTTTGTTTCACTAAGTTTATGACTTTTCTATGCCATTGACAGCAATATCACTATCATTAAAATAATGCGTATAACTATATCCACTACTTATTTTGCTATTTACAATCTCTAAATGTCATATATTTTAATTACATTATAAAACTAACATTAGTATTATCTAAGAAACATTTCTTGGGCATTTATTATGTGCCAGAAACATATCATTTCATATTTATTATCCCATACAATCCTTTGAATTATTTGATAAGATGGTTAATCTTATTTTCCTCATTTACAGGTAAAGAGACTGAGACTTAAAGAGGTGAATTATATTTTCCAAGATCATATGCCAAGTAATTGGCAGAACGGAGAACCAAACCAGAATTGCTTATTTATTCTATGTTATTAAATGTTTGTGAAACTGAAAAAAGTGTAAGTTGTGTTATAATGGATTGTACATATAAGTGTGAACAGATGCATTCTAGGCCATCATTAACAAACATTTACTGAAGGTTTCTGTCTGCTACCATGCACTAAGCAACAACGAGGGAAACACAAAGATTAAGAACGTTTGTACCCTGGAGCTCTCTCTGTCAGCAAGATGGGGAAATCTCTCCTCAATGATATGTTAAACTTCATTCAGATCAGGCAACTTTTATTGAATATCTATAAAATACAAGACACTGTATTAGACATTGTGAGAAATACAAACGTACATAAGAAACAGTCTTTCCCTTAAGAAACCTGTAGTAAGATGAGATCTGAATTCTCAAGCCTGCCTAGTATAAGTACCTAGGTGAAGTACAAGGTCCTATGAGTTAAACACACAGGGAAAGAAAACTTGTTTCTTGAAGAGTTCAGCCAGTGTGTAGCTGTGCCTCAAAAGTGAATCTCCAAAAATATACAGGGAATAAAGTTGATAATAATTTTTTTCATTTACCAAACCCAGAAATCATGAGTGATTTTAATACAGTGAAAGTAATATAAGTCACTCTCCTTAAAGGACAAACTAAAACTACCAGAGTTGTCCAGGATCTGAGAAACACAAATGATCAAAGGAATATGGTTGTTTTCTGTACAATGACAGTTAGTACTAGTGGAATGTAAGGCCTTAAGTGGAATACCAAGAGACCCAGTAGTGCATTCTTTGAAAGGTCCAAGGGGTATGAATAAGGTGAAGCTTATTGTTCAGTATTGTATGTGAGTCCTATTTGGGACTTTTAAAATAGAAGATAATGTTTTAAACTTGAAGAAGATAAATGTAGGATAAATAGAAGAATAATGACTTATATAGTATAGGATAAGTATATAGATCCTGTTGTCCCAGAAATCTACAATGTGAAGAAACTATGTAGAACAGTGGTTAAGAACCTGAGTCAGATAGAGCCTGGAGTCTGGGATGGTTTATGTCACTTACTATGTGATTTGGGACAAACAAATAAGTCTTTCTGAAA